TAACAATCTTTGCATCAACAAAATTGACGAGAACGAGAAAGAAGAATAGAATAACTCTGGAAATGATTGCCCTCTCCCCTTTATTTGAAGAATCGTAAAAAAGTTAGATGAGTGTAGCAATGGGAAATGCTTTCATTTCTGTAAATTTCGTCACAGATTTCTAAGACTACAATCCTTTCATCTTTTAAACCAACCTTATATTAATTATATAATATCATATTGAAAAGAAATGCTATGAAACTGACCGAAATGGAAGATTGTAGACGATGGTTTGGAATAGGAAGCATGCACTCAGAAATACGAAATTCAGAGCCAGACGTTTTTCACGATTGATACGTTTTTCACGGTTCATCTGCAGAAGACATAAATAATGATTTTCTATTACATAAAATTGTAGAGCTGGAACTCAAATGTAATTCCTATGAATGAAAGCGCTGTGCCTCATACTTTGTGCTGACATTCCGAGACTTGTCAAACTCAGTTAGTGTTCACTTTCTGTAGATCTGTAATTTCACCAAGGTCTCGAACAAACAGGTCCTATTCAAATCCGACCGTTGATCAATGGAAAACTTCCGGGGTCAGATGTTGTCAGATAGTGTTGCTTCAACGAGATTTGTGTGTATGGTGCCTTCAGAACAGAGTAACAAACTTTAGAATAAAAGAGAGTATGACATCAAGTACCGTTCCAGCAGCAGTCACATAGAATGGACCAAGGACCTTGTTCTTCCTTGCTATGTTCCGACTCATACGAATTTTCCATATAATTAACACATCTACAAAAGCCACAACAGCTGCGCAGGTTATCTGAAGCTTATTAAAATACAGTGAGGCAACTAAGTGATAGAATCAAAACAATAAATATCCCACCTCAGTGAAGAACGAAAATTTATCACTTACTCAACAAGAATTGTATTTAACAAAAAAGTTCTACGCACCTGTAAAACTAAGTTCCAGCTACGATATAGGTATGAGTACGGTTTGCTTGTATCGAGATACCAGTAGTGACCTTGTATGACATAAGAGTAACCACAATATGGAGTGAACATCGGTACTGAAATGAAATTTTTGTATGCAGATGGAAATTTTCCATTGCAATGTGGAAGCATTGAAACTGCCAAATAATTTGTACCTACGAGTAGTATACTGATAATGACAAACAAAATGTTGATCATTTGCATGTGCCGTGGCAAAATTGTTCGGAATCTCGTTGGAGAAAAGACTGCAATGAAATGAAGGGCAGACAGTACCAGCAAAGCAAACAGTTGGCTTAACCACTGGCAGAGGAGTATCAGAATCGAAACGTAGGCTTGCGCAGCATCTGAAACGTCCAATGGTAACTCGTGTGAGAACTATTGTAAACCCACGTCAAACAAACCCTCACAGGAACCTTCACTTCTGAACCTTATTCGAATTCCTATGCTCGCTTCTTAACGGTTCAAAACTAAGTAGAGCAGCTGATAATGTTGCCTTTTGTGTCGAACGACTGAGCCCCACTTACAATTTAATAAACATATTTTTGATGGCTCTCACGGTTAAGACTTCTTTCCGTGTTTACAGGAGTAGGCTGTCCTTTGGGAAAAGAATTCTCTCGTTGTAGCTACGAGAACCTTTCTGTTGTTGGAAATTAATTGCCACAGAAGAGCTTACAGCTTACATTTGAAAATATCCGTGTTCATAACAAAACTAGGCACGTCATGAATTACAGTATTCAAATACACAGCAATATCCATACCCATACACAAAAAGATGATCCACAGAATAAGTTGCCGAGCGAATTCTCCTGTTTTAATGGCGACAAATATGACGGTTACGTCAATGAAAATGATGAAGGTGTTGATAGCGAAGTTTGTCACGTATAAAGCGGTTTCCATATCCATAGCCTGAATTCGTCTAATAATCACCTATAGCAGAAGTAGATCTTGAACTTCTTGAGGAGTTTCAGGAAATAGATTAACAGAACGTCTCGAAACCTCTGTTCAAATCCTTGATCTCTGACAGAGCTATAAAAGACATTGGGAATTGCGTTGCCTCTCGTGGCTTTATCCTTGAGAGCTTTTGAAAATATCGTAGTCACTCTTCGGGATGGCTGTCAAAAGCTGCAATTCTATCAGTAATTTCCACGGTACTCCGACATGCCTTTATCCACATGCCTTCGTGGACCACTAAGCCTTTTCAAAGTGAGCAAAGTTCAGAAATTTTCAGTCAAGCTGAAGCCTACTTGGTGATTTTGAATAATTTGGTAGGTTTACAATCAATGTTCAGGAACAAACATACTTGTCTGCTGCCTATGCTTAGTTGTCAACAATTGGAGTGCTGCTTGCTTACTTTACTGGTCGCCAAAACTTCGTCTACAGGAGTACTACTTGGAACGAATAAACTAAAAAATTTGGCTGGACACTGAAAATTTGGTCTCGAAGAATGCCACAGAGATGAGGTTTACCACACCTGTGGTCTCGAATCTGTGGGGAATGAACCTGATACCGCCTGCACAGCCGCATAGCAGCATAGGCTCCACCCACACGGTTCAATTCCCTCAAGAAACTTTCCTTTCAAGATTCTCTGGACAGGGCCAGATTTGTTGAAGGTTGGTAAAATGAAGTCTCTTGGAAAGCTAAAACCTGACTACTGGCGAAAATTCGTTGTCCGCTGGGTATGATCAGATTTTCATAAGATTTTGGCGCAACAATTTCGGAAGAGAGCTCTACTCAGTGCTGTCTCGATGCTGCCAGATAAATTCTGAGTCATTCTCCATGGCAGATCGATTTTTTGGCCTCTTTATCACAGGAAATTTCTCAATAAGGGAAGAAACACCAAGCTAAATATCTGTATTTGCAGTACTTGAAAAGCCTCAATGCCAATTGTACCCGTGGACCTTTCAACCCATTCTCGAAGACAGCAGGAATGGTCCTATCACAAAGCCATAATTACGATAGGGAAGCTGCTTGTTTTGCCTACTATATACATGAAGAAGAATTAGAGGAATTTTACTATCCCGTGAATGTGTGGTAGAGTAATCTCCGGGTAACGGAACTTCTCCCCTCTCCCACGACCTGCGGCAGTGTTTCCGCGACTCTCCGTCCATTGTGAACTCAAATCTTTCCCTTCATAGTGCGCCATCGCGGGCGACAAGCGCGACACGCCGTTTGGGGAGAAAATACCAGACTCGCAACCCCCTAGTATCCTAACACCCACCCCCGTGGGCTTACAATCCGTTATCGAGTTTGCGGGTAATCCAGATCCTTCGGAGTGGACGATCTATACACTGGAAAATGCAAACAAACCTCGCAGATTTTTTCCAAATGA